TGGGGTAAAACTATGGAATAATTTAAGTGTGGACATAAAAAGTAGTAATAGAATTGACGAGTTTAAACGTAAATATAGAGGTATGTGTCATTCAAGATATATGCAAGAACAGGCTCAATGATTAACTACATGGACTATTGTGGGTGTGGTGTATATTTTGTAAACATTCCTTAGTATATCACTGGTATGATGTAAGAATGTTAACACTGTTATATTATTTTTTAGTATAATTTGGGTGTGTGTAGTAGCGAATCATTTATTGCTTGCAAACCAATGATGGGAAGATGATGTCATGGGGTAGGACTAGATAAGTCTGACTTCTTCCTACTCCATTCAAGCATGTACTAGGTATAAGCAAATGGATATTGGATTGTGTGTAAAAATGTGTGTTGTTATATCAACTGTTTTAAATGCTTGGAAATGTGTTGTTATATCAACTGTTCTAAATGCTTGAAAGAATAAATCAAATCAAATCAAATCAAAAATAGGAACAGGATTATTCGGTTTGAGCCAGTAAACAGTTTCTGACATCACTTAAAGTTGTTAAATTAAGTGTGTCTTATTGCTGCCATTCCCTCTCTGTTAATTTACATGATAGGTTTAGAGTGTGTGGGAGGCACCAGTCTGCAGTGTAAGGTACAGCTCATTAACAGGACTCAAAATGCAAAAACAGTGACTAGCTGCACATGTGCTAGCAACTCCCTATGTGAAAGCCCTTTCAGTGGTGGATTTTAAAAGTGCTTTATAGTGAACCTAGTGACCTGTTTGCCAGCTGTTAGCAGTGATTATATGAGGATCAGGTCTGCTCTTCAGTTTCATCACTTAGACCACATTCACACTGCAGGCTGAAGTGACTCAAATCCGATCTTTTTGCCCAAATGCGACCCATATCCGATTTACTTATGACAGTGTGAACAGCACAAATCCGATTTTTTTCAAATCCGACCCAGGCCACTTTCATATGTGGTCCTAAATTGGATACATATCCGATGTTTTGCAATGCTACTTCAGTCTGAACGGCCAGGTCGCATTTCATGCGATTTTTATGTCATTGAAATGCGACAGATGTCACAATTCTGCGCTGGAGGAGGCGAGGCCATAAGCAATATTTGTGCTCTCCTCCTCCTTGATGTTCTTCTTTGTATTATTTCTTTATTTCGATTGCACATTAACTGGTACATCGCTACACACATGCTATCACGAGCCACATCTCTTCCTACCTTAGTGATCGAACTTTTAATGTGACTATTAATAACATCATGTCTGGAGTGGTTGCTTTGTCCTGTGGAGTTCCACAAGGGTCGGTCCTGGGTCCTCTTTTGTTTTTACTATATATATATCCACTGGGTCAGATTATCCGGCGCTTTGACAATGTGTCTTATCATCTTTATGCAGATGATCTTCAAATTTATTGTTCTTTTAATGATTCAGAGTTTCACCTATTAGCGA